CACTAATTAGAAGGTGCCGCAATTCCACGGACTGAATCAATTTACACCTACCTGCAAGATTCCATCAATTACGATTGCAACGAGGCAGCAGAGCCGACTACGGTCTTACTGAGAAATGCCGTGAGAACGAAAAAGGACATTTAATAATGCTTTTCAGAATAAGCGGCCCCGATTGATTGATTAACATATATTTATGTCCCCTCATTGATTATATCATGTTCGTTCCAGCAGCTTGACTGTACAGTCATTTACGCTCACAGACCCAATTAAATCGGTGTTGGTTTAGTGGAATATTGTGGTGAAAATAATTTAAAATAAATTACATAATAATGATATTTCGTAGACACGCATTGTTTCATTTTATTGCCCATTCTGTGGCTAAGCGACCGCAAAAAACGACGGCCTTTCGATTCAGTCAAACGACGACCAAGGTGATGAGAAAAGCGGGATAAACACTGGCAACGGACTTCTCATTCGATGGACTGATCGGCTGAAATCGATTGGCTGAAACGTGTAGCATCAAAAACCGAAACTCATTAGTTACTAACGAACACTGCTGTGACGTAGAACTGAACAGAACAACTACGTTAGCGGTGGCAGCAGTTACTTGGAAGCCTGGGGAAACTTTAGCCAGTACTTAATAACAACCTGTTTTTCACTACGGACTTTAATTCACACTCTTTCTCAAATATTAATGAACATGGTACGCCATTCAAGCTTGAGCTGTGATGAAGATTTGTCAGGGAAGGGAATAACAGTGTTAACGAAATTATAAATTAAATAAAATAGGTTTGATAGATTTGGTGTAGAACCTTATATGTAACAATGAATAACTCGATGGCAGAATAAATCATAGCATATAATTTTAATCAATCATAAATCTCGCTGATACGAACTGCTGCATAAGAAACTATGAATATTAATTCAACATGTTCATTGCTTGCTTGGACTATGACGCAATTCGCCTCACCCTGTCGTCGAATGCAAAAAATAAAGTTCTTCGCGAAAGCGATTCACCACTGTTGTACATTTGAGCATTTTATTCGATCTCGCAAGTTTCATTCCCCTCAGGACCTTATGAAATACTTTACGAGTTTTACTCAGCCACAGTGATCACTCAACTAGACAGTTGGTCGAATATTAAGATTACATGGCAGAGTTTCATTGAAAACGTACTAAAAAATGGTCAACCCGTTGGGTGGCCAAGTATAATTAATCGCCCCAGTGCTTCTCGCCTCATTTCCACAAGTATGTCAGTTCGGCGAGGTAAATTCTACCAGTATGAGAAGCATTTCTGAGTTTCTCCGAGCAAATTCCGCAAGCTGCATTTTTTAATATAAATATGCTAATGAGGTATCTGACGTCTAATCTTTCTATTTCAGAAGGAACGAATGAAAATCGCTCATAAATAGTAAAAATTTGTTCAGTCTCATTGGGAGGTCTACTTTGTGAGTAAAAAAATGATAGTTCATATTTTTGAAAGACTTTAGATCTGTTGGAAGCATATTTGATGGACGATATGGATACCGGTTTCAATCGCAAATAGAATATCTGGGATCCGAAAGGTACCGCTTGCTAACCATGTGTGAACTATCTCATACCGTCATCTATCTGAAGCGACGATCTCATTTGTCCCGTCACTTTCCTTGAGGCGATGATGGAATAAATTTTCATGAGGGATGTTGGGGAAAAAGCAGACCGATGACGTCGTAAAATGTTCCGTCATCGGATTTGTCCACGTTTTGGACACACCATAAGCCCATTGGGTCGCTTCGGTCGATCTTCTCTCCTACGGAGCATTTTTGATGAGAAATGTTTCACCAGTAACCTTTCAGAGCCAGCTGTCACCGACTAATGCTAAGTTCCCAGTCTTCATCCAGACATACAGATATCACTGGCGAAGGGTGCCACCGGCTCAAAGTGCTGGAGAGGGTTTTTGCGTCAGGTTCCTGCCCTCATCTCAGAAGGAGAAGAAAACAACAAGTAGGTAAAAGTTGATCAGTTGCCTGTGGCAAATTTCGGCCTGTTCAGTCTCAGAGAAGAATCCAGAGAAAATTCTCATTCCTCGCTCATTGTTCGAGTTGCAGGCGAAGTATGATCACTTAAACTAAGTTTTATAACTCAAAACACTTAAGCTCAGCTTTCATTGAAGTTGACAGCTGTCCACGCAGCAAATCTCTTCGAGCAACAGCATCGAAAACGAATGACAAGTAACCGGTGACACGACGTGGTGGTTGCGTCTCGCACTTCCTGGTGGTGAACCGAACTTCGATCGGTCAACCTGAGGTGATTCACGCTCGTCACTCTGTTGCAGATCACTTTACAGATAAGCGAAGACAGCCAGTGGTGCCTGTTCACAAACCGACCAGTTATCAGTCACGCTGGAGGACTAACGCATGACATGTGAGTTTCGACAGAAAAACGCCTGGTATAAAATATGGCTGCAGAAGCCGCTGTTTTTCGGAGGAGAGTAGGATAGCCGACTGGTCGTCGGCCAATCGCTTACCTGCTCACGTGGTGTCCTCTTAACACTTAAGAAGCCGGGTCTTCCGCTTATCACCTGATATTTTCTACCTCCACCGCAGACTACGCCTCAATTCAAGAGGTATTACAGTAAATTACAAGTATGATTTTCAAATTTAATTTTTTTAATTGTTGGCTTCGCCTTCAACCAGCGATTATATCATTTTCGACGTTCATGCTTGTTGATCGTAATAATCGTACATTCCAAAGCGACTATCTTTTTTATGCTGTTCTTGGAATTTCGGGTGACAAAAACAGACGTATCATCTTACAATTCCTGCGAACTGTCTCCAGCAATAAATTCGGTGATAACGGTGATTATTAATGCCTTGGTGTGAATATATGATGCAAGTATCTTTCTTTCAGAAAAAATGGTATGACATTTATTAGATAATGCATAATTCATTCAAGACCAGATTTTAAATCGCATTGCATCGCTTCCTTGCTCATCTTGGAGGAGTTATGTGTTATTTGATATCTCCTGGTGGGTAGTACGGTTAGAGCACTGCCACTAGCTGAAAAAACTCTGCGTCCGTGCTCTTTACTGCTATACCAGCGTATGGAGGGAACAAAGACACATTCCTTATTTAATTTGGCGCGGCTTGGAAAAGAATCAGAGCTGAATGTATGGTGAATTGCACTTTCTACCTGACCCTCATGTGAGAAGACAGCCGGCGGTCAATAATGTTTTGTTCGCAGAAGCTGCA